ATTCTTTTACTAAATTAAAAATTATTTTAAAAAATAAAATAAATAAAAATATTTAGTTTTTATTACATATAATAAATATTTAAGTTTTTTAAGTAAAAGTTATTATTTAATGTTAGTAATAAATTATATCAACTTCTGAACCACCAATTTAGAATAACTAGAAGGGTACTCGTACGATCCAGTAAAATAAATTTTCATTTTAATGTTTAGTTTTTATTCTTTGTCTCTATCGATATAATATGATTTTATTTGATTTAGAAAACGATAATGTTTTTATTCTTGAATAAAATATAAATTTGAAGATAACATAAAATTTTGAAAAAATAAATCGATACTAATATTAAATTAACTATTTAATAGTTCTCGTTTATTTTGGTGTAACTTCTTTAATTCAATTTTTTATTATAATTTATTTTATATTTAATAACAAAGTAATTTATTTTTGTTTTAATAATATAATTTTTTATAAAGATAATAATTAAACATTCTGTTACAACTCAACGATTATTTTAATTATATATTAGATATTCTATATTTAAAATTGATGTTTATCCTGTATTTGATTATATTTATTTGCAGTTAGTTACATGAATTTAAAAATGAAGCTTTAATAAGTTGTACTTACAGAAAATTATTTCTAATCTGGAATTTTAAGTAAGATACATCAATAAACAATACTTCATGCATAAAAATGATTTTTAAATTAGATTAATAATGTTAATTTAATGATACTAATTATTGTTATTTATTAAATTAAAGCTAAATTTCATACTTATCTCTTTCTCGCTCCTCTTATCTCTCCCATCACCAAATTAACATACACCTTGTGCACACAAAGAAACAACCGTATGAATTTTTTTAGTAAGGTGTTCACAAGTTTCATATTGTGTTCCTAAGTGGTATTGTTTAGATTTAACTTTATTGATTTATTTTGTATTTGCAATATGTTCTCAAGTTATATCAGTTCTTTGTAGAGTTGGAGCGTGCTTTGTTCTCAAACTATAATAGTATTTCTAATAAAGTGTTTGTAACGTGTTCACCATTAATATTCTATTGTACAATATATATATATATATATATAGGTGAGTTATTATACAATTTTTTACATTTGTACAACCAATACAACTCAATCTCAACCGTTCATTTAACTTGATGAATATATAATTTCATAGAAATTTTGATTGTTTCTTAATATAAAGTATTGATCATAATTAATTAACCTTATTCATCTTCCATAAATATTTAAATCATAATAAATGAACTCTCATCATTTCCATAAATATTTCAATTTATTGGGTTGCATTAGTTGTACAAATGTGATGGGTTGCATTTGAAACAAACTCTACATATATATGTATGTATACATATATATATATATATGTGTATGTATGTATGTATGTATGTGTATGTATGTATGTACATACATACAGGGAAGAGTTCAAACGAAAACACATTCATTTTACGAGAACGAAAGAACACATTTTTATTATAGACAATCACATGTGATACTATTATTTCATCACATATGATACACATGTGATACTAAATTAAAGACGCAGACAATTTTCGGCACGATCTTGGTTGCGAGCCAAGTCGCCCTTACACGACTAAGCCCCCTCACATGTATTATCACATGTGATAAGAGTGTTGTTGATATGATACTATAATTCGTCAAGACCATCATATGTGATGCTAAATCATAGACGCAGACAACCTTTGACGCGGTCTAAGTCGTAGAATACGTCGTCCGCATACCACCAGGTCCTCTCACTCGTATTATCACATGTGATAAAGGTGTTCTCATGTTCTTGTAAAATTAAGGTGTTCTCTTTTGAATCTCTACCTATATATATATATATATATATATATATGTGTGTGTGTGTGTGTGTGTGTTGTGTCCCCATAAAATTTTTTAACCCAATTTCATTGTTATTTTTTTTTAGTTTATTACCTTTGCTATAACGTGAATTGTGAAGGTAAGGGTTTGTTAGTTAATGTATAATTTTTTTTGTTAGTTGTTAACTAGGGTCAGGAGTTGAGTTCATGTGAGACCAGGTTGTTTTCGTGTGACTCGCGAAACCACTTTTTTACACTTGAAAATTCACAGCAAAACACTGTGAAGGTAAAAAAAATCCAAACCTTCACAGTGTTTTGTTGTGAAGTTTTAAGTTTACAAAAATGGTCTCAAGAAAACAGTCTGGTCTCACATGATCTCAAGTCTTAGTGTCAGGGTTTGTTAGTTGATGTTAAATTGCTAATATTTTGTTATTAATTTAGGGTTAAAGTTTATCACTTCATGTATAAGTGTTAATTTGAACGATCTTCCTTGAATCCATTCAAAAGGACTTTTTTATAGCGTACCACTCTAATCAAAGAGAAAACAAGACGAAACCATTTAAGTAAAAAACATTGTAAAACCACGTGGATACGTGGCCATTACTTATATTCTAACCTCATCATCAAATTTTCTAGATCCACCACTGACTTGCGATATATTATTTTCATGACCATGCCCATATGGCATATCCATGAAAATGATGGGACCATTTGCATTGGTTTCTTTGTTTCTAGCTAGTTGTGTACCATGCCCACACTAGTCTACATATGGTCCCTTACAGTTGCTGCTGCTTTTAGAGAAGTAGGTACAGTAGTAGAAGAGGAATTTGAAATCTACCTAATGATCAATCGATTTGGGTTCAAGTTAGTCGGTGAGATTGGACTATTTATACCCTCAAATTAATACTTATAAAGGTTTCGTTTGTACTCTTGCAACAAGCACATGTCGTACTTCCGTTCAAGGTTTTAATTGGTATGTCACAAGGAAAAACAACGCCCCTTGGACTCCAAATCCATGAGAGATGTCTACAATGATGATTATAACATCACTAGGTTTCACTTCTGAATCGCCTTAAGACCTAGCCTCCCCTAAAGGGCGGGATCATGGAAAGAGTAGCTAGACGAGGATGTCATAAACACGTAAGGAGAGATTGAACTATATGCCGGAGGCCATTTACATGAAAATCCCACCTCCTAGACACCCTGATGCCACAAGATTCTCCCCAGATATAGTATTCCATATGCATACCGATAGCTACACCATCTCAACCACGTATATTTATACTATATTATAAAGTATTTGATAAAAACTCTTAAAAACTATTTTTTATGCATGAAGTATTGTTTATTAATGCATATTACTTAAAATTCAAAATTACAAGTAAATTATGCTTAAATACAACTTATTAAAGCTTCATATTTGAATTCGTGTAACTAACTGCTGATAAGCATAATCAAATATAAGATAAACATATCATTTTAAATATATAAAATTTAAAATATAATAGAATAATCATTGAATCTTAACAGAATACTTAATTATTATCTTTATAAAAAATTATATTATTAAACCTAAATTAAATTACTTTGTTACTAAAGATAAGGTTAAATTATAATAAAAAAGATTAAATTAAAGAAATTACACAAAAAAACAAGAACTTTTAATAGCTAATTTGATATTAATATCGATATATTTTTTTTTCCAAATTTTTATGATATTTTCGAATTTATATTTTATTCAAAAATAAAAACATTATTGCTTTCCTCAAAACCACATAAAACCGTATTATATCGACAAAAAAAATAAAATAAAACAAAACATTGAAATCAAGATGTGTCTCGATGCATTGCACGAGTACCCTTCTAGTGTATATATATATATATATATGTGTGTGTGTGTGTGTGTCCACCATTAAATAAACATAACATCCTGCATTTATAATTAAGATTACAATGCACTTGTCCCACGAAATTAATGAAGAAATTGTGTTGTTTAGCATGTATGTACTATCTACTATAATTTGTGTTCTTGGTCTTAATTTTTAGCTTTTTTGTGTCGTCAAGGAGATCAATATCCTAACCTTATCATATATGGAAGTTGAGATCAACCCACATCAACTGTGTCAAAATGAATCCAAGTGTATTCCCCTCTAGTACACTGAATCTAAGACTATTTGTGCAAAACACAACTAGCAGTTCGAATCGCTCAGTACTGTCGCACCTTTATTAATTGCTCCAGTATTCAGAACTTCAGAGCTAGCCCCCATTGTGTAGTCTGTTAATTTCTCCCTTCCAAGTCATGATGCATTACATATCTCAACTTAACACTCCAATATCTAGCCTTTTCATGAGCTCGTATTCGTGCGAGCTGATATTTCAAAATGGGATAGCAAAAACTCTAACTTCACAGCACAGTTTTGTTGTGTTTCATCCCCAAAAATGATACAAGGATGGTGCAATGGAGAGAATAAATCCATCAGCCAACCCCACCAAATTAGAGATAGAAATTTGGCTACAAGTTCACCATAGAAATAAACCAAAGAGATGTACAAAACACATGATGTAAGCACAAATTGAGTTCAGCTTTATAAGTTATGATCAACTTCTGTTTCACTCCACTTAATTGCATGACTAGATATATATATATATAGGGGATACTTATAGTAGATCTCTTGAAACATCCCTCCAATTAATCTTAGAAATATCATAAGCAACATGAAGTATATATAAACTACATTGACATGGACAAAATTCGGATAAATATATGTCACTTTGACCACCACTTCAGTAAAACTGGCAACTTTTTCTATAAAGCTCTCCATCATAATCTGTTTGATGCACTGGAAACTAGACTTCCAGAGTTCTACACATAATTGTTGGACTTCCCACTTCAGTACCCTTCAGTTATAAAACTGCATCCAACTTTTCTAGGAATCCAGTTGATGATTCATTTGAATCTAGATTTGGGGGTCTTCAATTCTCTATCACACATAAGTTTTAGACGTCTCAATAATTTATGTCTTATAGTTTAATCTGACTAAAATCCTCAAGACTGATCTCATCCTGCTATTACCACGCGTTATTAGATTCTTTGGCTCCTCGTCAAACAAGGAGTACATGTACTTACACTTCCTCAAGCTCACAAGAAGATCGCAAATCTAGAATTTGCGATCAGTCTTTTCTCCCTAACGACCTACACTTTATTTTTCTAGATTTTGTACTGTCAAGTCAAGGACCGATCAAGCAATATCCTTTGCAAGACATTCGTTTACCATGTTTTCAAAACACCACAATAGGATCCAAGCAGAAAACTGCAACCATTAGGCTTATATTTCCAACATACAACCTTGCCATATTGTTGAAAAAAGTAGAATGGATTTGATCAATTGATCGTTGACCGACCTTTCAGCAATTAAGATGCCACTGGAATCATATTGTTGCCCTAATATTTCTATAATTTGCAGCATCATGTAATAACAAGAAGATCATATGAATATAAATGCCAACGGAGAGATCGATGATACATATAAATAAGAACGTTGACCAAACCTTGAACTCGTGAAGTCGTGGAGCTTCCCGGTGCTAGAGAAGATAATGAGTCCAACTTCGGCATCACACAAGATAGCCAACTCCTTAGCCTTCTTCAACAACCCATTCCTTCTTTTAGAGAAAGTAACTTGTCGGCTGGTTGAGTTATCGATCCTTCGAATTACAATCTTCCCTCTCCCCATTGTTAGCTTCTAGGGTTTCAGCAACCTGCTATTTGGAGCTTAACAGCAGATCAAAGAAATTAACAGTAAGATGCAAATAGGCTCAGAAAGTAGGGAGCTTTAGTTACAGGGAATCCAAGTAAATGATTGATGATGTTAGCAAGAACAAATAAAAAGATGCAATTCCCATTTCCAAAATTAGAAAGTTTCTTCTTAGGCAAGATATATCAAAGTCCAAATATTGTTATAAAGATCATTAACGGAAATAGGACAAAGAAGAAATGGTGAAAATTAGGGGTGTGGATTACCGATAGAAAAGAGGAAGATTCGTAGGAGAGAAGAGGGCTCATTTGGGATGTGTTATACATACTTTATATATTGAGGACAGGAATTAAATATTTGGCCGTAACCATATATTTAGTTATTTGAATATTCTAAATTTATGAGATCCGTAAAAATTTATATCGTATTGATTAACATATATTTGTTTTATAATGTGTTTTTTTTTTCATGTGAACTGGGTTCACAATGTGAAACTTTTTTACGTGAACTTTTTATTTCACAAACACACCAAAAAGGTTTGCATTGTGATCAGCATATATGGGACACAAACACATTATGAAACAAATATATGTTAATCATTACATTAAATTTTAATCATAGATGAAAAAGAATCATATGAAATAGCAGATAATGCACTGGTTCTCAACGATCTCACGATTTTTAGAGATTTTTCAAAAGGAAGTCCCCACATATATATATATATATATATATATATATATATAAGGTTGGGTTCGGGTGAGAATGAAAATTATGGTGAAAAAGGTAAGAAGAGATTTTCACTCTTACACCAATCCTAATTGAAGATCAACACTAATGTTATGCACCGAATCAATTCTCATGGTAAACACAATTTATAGGTGCGATGAGATTAAAAGTGATCAAACATTTATCCTTTCTTACCATAACTTCAATTTCCACACGATCATTCGTCTATATATATATATATATACATACATATATATATATATACATACATATATATATATATACATATATATATATATATGTATGTATATAAGCGAAGGATTGTGTGAGAATGAAAGTCAAGATGAGAAGCGTATGAACGGATCTGGACATTTGATCATCTTTAATCTCCAACTCACCCATGAATCGCGTTTGATACGGGGATTGATCTGGTGCATCTCATCCTAATGTGCATCAAACGGTGAAGATCTCTTCTTATGCTTCTCACTTTAACTCTCATTCTCACATGAAACAACTCTCTCTCTCTCTCTCTCTCTTTCTCTCTATATATATATATATATATATATATATATATATAGGGTATATTTTAAATACAACCATGTCCATTTGTACAACCAATTCAACCCAATCAATTGAGATATTTATGGAAATGATGAGAGTTTATTTATTATGATTTGAATATTTATGGAAGATGACTAGGGTTCATTAACTATGATTAATACTTTATATTAGAAAACAATCAAAACTTTTACGAAATCACATATTCATCAAATTAAATGGACGGTTGAGATTGAGTTGTATTAGTTGTACAAATATAAATGGTTGCATAATAACTCATATCTCTCTCTCTATATATATATCCCTCTATTTTGAAATAAATACACTGATTTTTGTAGATTTGATATTGATTAATTTGATGGATATTATATATGGAACTAAACAAATGAGAACTCGGTAGTTTTGATAACCATGGGATATAATATGAGTCAATGGTTAAAGATAATTAATGTTATTTCTTAAAATAAAGTAAAAGGGTAAACCAGTAATTTGATATTCTCATTTTGTATTTAGTTAAATTCTTTAAAAACCTTCTCTCTCCATATTCTCGTTTTGTATTACCCAAATTAACATTTGGTATTGTGAACATATTGTAAACAAAGGGTACCACAGTGGGTTTCAACGCGTATATAATAGGTATCACAACGTTGGTGTTGTGAACACCTTCTAAACAATGGTAGCACAGTGTGTATCAACATGTATAAATGGATATCACAGGATATCACAACGTGTATAAAATGGGTATTACAGGATAACATAACGTGTATAAAACAGGTATCACAGTGTGTATATTCTATGTATCTTAGGTATCACGGTGAGGATCATTTGTATGTATTTTTTAGTAATGACGATGTTTTTTAGGTACCACATTGTGTATCTTGCGTTCATTTGGTGTTGGGGTAGAATAAGGTTCKACGGAAAGAGCAGAGAGGACAGATAAAATTTCTATAATACCTAAAATGTCTTTTAATTAAAATTTTAAGTCAAAATTAACAAAACTTATAATTTTCTAATTTACCATTTAATTTGTGGTTGAAATCAGGTCTCACAGTTATCACATACTAAGTTTTCTCTCTTGAATGGCCTTGTAATACATTTATATTGACGTTTTATTTATTAACATCATTAATTACAACAAAATTGATTTTATAGGACACTTAAATGTCCAACTATCGTAATATAATAGTTTGTAGAACTTAAGTTTAGAAACAAATTATAAAGCATTTACAATAGTTTTATATGACGTTTTTGGGGGATTTTAACAAGTTTTTAAAATAAAGTATTTACATTAGCTATTTTATAGGATATTTTTAAGAAGTATCCTATAAACTCATCTTTTTGTAAGACATTTGTACATGTTTATGTGACATTTTTCTATTACTGTTCTATAAAATAGTTAATGGTCCATTTTCTTTTAAAAGCGTTTTAAAAGACTTGTTGAAACGTTTAAAAACGTCCTATAAACTATTGTAATTACACTTTTAGATAAGATGTTTTTTATTTGAATAAACTTAAGTCCTATAAAATATTTTATAGGAATATTTAGACATTATAGCATTAGTGGCACTATAAAACCATTTTTTTAATTAACCTGAATATCCAACCCGTTATGCGAGCCGATTAATCTCAGGGCAACCACCTGTTTTGCAGATAACCGGAGTCACCGCATTTGAACCTCCGTGACCACAAGAAGATTTTTATTCCTCCTTAGATTTAAACCTGAGACCTCCTGATACATTTGACCTTTGGAGCCAAACTCAAACCAATCAGGCACCACCCTTGTGGTTAATTTTAATTATTGTAGTGATTGTTGGTTTTTTACTCCAAAAATCTCGTTGGAATGTGAGTAAATCATGGATTTTGTCTATGTTTATCCTATTCCATGCAAACGTCAACTATATATTTAAGTAAGTTTGATTAGTTCTAACGAAACTGTTCTTCTAACACTCAAAATTGATATTTTTGACTATTACAATTCTTAATATAGATTGCTTTTTAAGTCAATAGAATGTTAATTAAAAAAAACCCCTTTATGCTATTGTCCTATTAGCCATATTTAGGATAAAAGAAATATAAATCATAAAAATATTACAAATCAATCTCAACTGTTAGTCTTTTCTAACGAATATTTGGTTTCATAAATATATCGATTGTTTTTAATATAAAGTAGTGATCATAATTAATAAACTCTAATTATCTTTCATAAATATGCAAATCATAATAAATGAATCTTTATCATTTTTATAAATATTTTAATTGATTAGTTTGTATGATTTGTAAGATTTTCATGGTTTGTACTTGATTTGTCCTCTAGTATTATATATATATATATATATATATATATGTGTGTGTGTGTGTGTGTGTGTGTGTGTGTTTGTGTGTCTAATCAAATGAGAACTGTTTTGTTTGTGGTAACTATGAAATCTACTCTCAACCACAAATCAAATGTTAGATTAGAAAATTAATAATTTTAGTAATTTTAACTTAAAATATTAATTAAGGGCATTTTAAAGGAATATAAATATCATCTCTCATCTCTCCTCTTTCCTCTCTCCGACGAATATTATTCGACGAACCTTATTCCGATGGACATTATGTAAACACAAGATATACACTGTGATACCTACAAACGATATTCACTGTGATACCCATATATACATACAAGATGCACAATGTGATACCCTTTGTAAAGCAATGAAAATATAGAAAATCCACACTATGATACATTCCAAAAAAAAAAACATTGTGATACACATGAAACATTATGAAGTTATCACTGTGATACACTTTGATTCATAAACGTCTTTAAAATACGATGTATATCAAGTAATCGATATATCAAATAACTAATTTTAATTAAATATTTCATTCTAAAAAGTTTAATTAAATAGTTTGATTAGTTGTCAAAAATAAAAATACTATATTTCTCTTTTAGCTTATTAAGAAATATCCTTAAATATCTCAAATGAATTGTTCACATTGAATCTCACGGTTAACACAAACTAATTAGTATGCATATATATATATATACTTGATCATATGACCAACTTGTTTTTATAAGACCCTTAAGACCACTGTTTTACACTTGAAACTTCACAGTAAAACATTGTAAGGGTAACATTTGCAATATTTTTGCTGTGAAGGTTTAGTTTTTTTACATTCACAATATTTTACTGTGAAATTTCAAGTGTAAAAATGTGCTCTCACGGCTCTTACGAAAATAGGCTGGTCTCATGTGAACCCGACACTATATATGTAACACTTCTAAAAGTTACCATGCAAGAAGGCTAGTTATAGAATGATTTACATTAAGGGGGTGTTTAGGATTGTCTATTTAAAGTGTTTATTGACTTATTTCAGTGTGCTACTGGTAATAAGTTGTTTTTGTGTTTCGACGAGGAAAAAAAATATTGCTTATTGATACCAAACTGGTAATAAGAAGTTTTTGATAAATTCTTATCTTCTAACTTATGAAAAACAACTTATCAATTTTGAAATCCAAATTACTTTTTTAACCCTAAACTTAATAAAATCTACCAAAAATAATTCGTTTTCCTCGATTGGATCCAAAACAACCCAGGATGAGTGTCCAAGAACATTCAAATCTGTAACCCTAGACCGAATAATTCAGAAGCTGCTTGATCCAAATCAACTTATCAGGTATCTTCGAGGAACTCTATTGCACGACTTCTTCC